GGACATTTCCACGTCAGGTAGGGCAAAATTATACCTATACATGTCTATAATTTATTTAATCAAATAAACTAACAGTTTTCAATAACTCATAGAGCAAAACAAAACAACAACAAAAAAATTTGGTTTTTACAGATTCACAGAATATATATTTCTTTGTGTTAAACTATTTACCCATCTTAATATCGTAGTTGATTACAGTCTTTGTGTGTCAGTAAAATAAAATATTTCCTATATATTTCAATTTTTAAAAATTCTGTTCTTGTATTTTTTAATATTTAATAATTTTATAAATGCCTATTGATATTGGTATTGATAATTTGTTAATGTTTAGGTTTTTATAATTTGTTAATATTTAGGTTTTTATAATTTGTTAATATTTAGGTTTTTCTAATTTGTTAATATTTATTTTTTTTTAATTTGTTAATATTTACTTGTTACTTGTTGTTTGTATAGCGCCTTTCTTTTCAATTAGGAAGTGCTGAAGTTCTTTTCCTTGGTCATTGGGTCCACATGCTAAGTGTTGCTACTGACAATCAGCGCAGGAGCATGTAAACCTACCAGGTTCCCATTTATACTCCTAGGTGAAGAGAAGCAATGTAGATAGTGTCTTGCTCAAGGACAAAAGGGCTGTTTCACAATCAGGGAACATTTTTCAAAATCACACTATTTGACCCTGCTGCCTGTTTATTAAAAAAGCCTCAGGATTTCTTTCTATTCCTAAATATAACACACCCATAGCCCTTCGTAACCCAATATAAAAATAGTTGTACTGGTTCTTTAATTTTTTTTTAAAACTACAATGTTCATTTTTTTAGACATTTCAGTGTTTCACTCTAAAATAACACATTTTAACTTCCTAAATTTAAATACTAAACCCATATAAAATCTACCAACAATTGGCTTTTTTAAAACTACTTTAGTGCACCTAAGATACAAAAAAAAATTATTCAATAAATTATTTTGGCAAAAAAATTATAAAAAAATTAAAATATTGTCAAAAAAACTCTTAAAATGTCCTCTCCTTTACATGATATTTTTAACATCATTAAAATATAATTCAAGGAGTTATCCAGAGCAAGCAGAATGGCTTAAAAGATTGCTGTATATCATCTAATTAAAAGCAATAAAAATTATGAACTTATAATTTGGTGTACTCAATTGGTACAGTAGTAACCAGTGCCATGCATTGGCGTAAAAAAAATGTGTCCTCTCCTTTACAGCATTTTCTTAAGTGGTACCTCTTGTCCTAGTAAGTAAACATTTTCTTTATATATGTTTCCTGTAGTACAAAATAAACCACTGCTAAACATAAATTAAAGAAGTTTAATTTATTTAATTTTCTGATGTCATTAATCTGATGTCCTCTCCTTTACATAAAAAAGGGCTAATAAAACAGTTAAATAAAAATATAAAAGAAGTTAGTACTGTTAAAGATTTCTTATTTTTTTAAATGAGCATTACTAGAATTTGTGAAAATAGTTAAAAATTAACAACATTTTACAGTGAAATTTTAAAATATTTACCTCGATTACGACCAGCATACTCAAATGCTTTATATTGACAAAATATTTTGAGAAGCTTTTATGTATCCATATATATTTTTAAGGGTAACAAAAAAAACAATACTTTTTGATAAAACAGGCTTAAAATTAGTGCAACATATATGCAGCTGTTCATTTTCTTTGGTATAAGGATGCCAGAGAGATGAATAGGAGAGGACATAATTTTTTGACAACTTACAAAACAACTTACAAATATGAATAAAAAATGGGCTAAAAATAATTTTAAATATAGCATTTACCATTTACACTGCCGATAGAATATCAAAAAAATGAGGGCAGTGTTTTGAGGATATTTCCCGCATGATTAAAATCGTAATGGTACTGGGTTTGGTCTACAGGAGTTAGTGTTTCTTACAGGTCATTCCATTCATGGAAAAAGCCTTTATATTGGAGAAAGCGTACTTGTCGTTAGCCACAGTAGCCTAGGTCAATACTAACTCTGGCTCTACAAAATTGATTATAAGATTGAAAATATTAATCTTATTATTGTGATACTATGTACACATTTTTATTTATTGTTATTTATTTGTAAACGTTATTATATTTTCATTTAAATTTAGTGTATTGTTTTAAGTATGAATTACTATGTCCATGTTAAATTAATCTTATCTATTAAAATTGTATATTAAAATAATATAGTTATAGGCATAGCCGAGGTCTAGCCTAGGCTAGGCCTAAACAAGTGACTATATATGTGAGTGTAAAAAATTATGAAAAATATGAATAAAACGCAAAAATTGTGAAAAAATAAAGGAAGAATAGGAAAGAGATATTTTGAGCAGCTGAAATATTTTCCAAAAATATACAATAGTAGTCAATATGCTATTATTGCATTACGAAGAATCCTATTTTTTCTTTTTTCTCTATATTTAGGAATATGATGTCAAATTTTTAGAAATGCTTCATGCAGCCATATAAAAACGCTAGAACATGGCATTTTGATATACGTAGACCAAAATAAACATAAAAAACATTTAAAAAAACATGCCTCAATTTTGACCCTCTGTGAAACATACTTGTGTTCCCTGATTGTAAAACAGCCCAAAAGCGAAATGCACAGCGAGGGATTGAAACCCCGACCTCGAGGTTGGGAAACCAAACCGTTCCCGCTGCGCCAAACCGCTTCTTTTAGGTTTTTTTTAATTTATTATATTTAGGTTTTTATAATTTGTTAATATTTGGGTATTTATAATTTGTTTATATTTAGGTTTTTTCTGTGTAAAAAATGTTATTGTAATATATATTGATATTTATAATTTGTTAATGTTTAGGGTTTTTTCTTATACACATCTATGTTTAGGGTTTTTTCTCTGTGATATGATGTTGTTGTAATATATATTTTTTGCCTTTATATATTCTGTAATTAATTTGTTGTAATTTCTCTTTCTTTTCTTCCATTTAATAATTAACCATTTTTTTAGGAAAAATTATACTGGAATTTGGAAATATACATCCAGTCAAAATAAATAATAAAATAATTTGATGATCTATACCGTATTCCAAGTTAATGAATTTTTAAAATTTTTCATATTTTTTTAATAATTATTATTTTGTGTTTCTTTTAGGTATGTACAAATCGAGTATCCTCCAAGGCTTCTGGACACTATCAAGCAGTGTGTCATGCTGTTGTGGCAGAGGTTGAAGAGTTAACAACATTTTTAGAAGTACTATCAAAAGGAACAAAGGTAAATTTATGTAACTTGCATAGAATTTCTTGTATACTCCTTGACAATGATAATATTGCTCTAGGATTTCTGTCACACTTCCAACTCAAAGAGCTCAATCACCAAGTGCGTAGAAGTCCAACGATTGTATTTTTATTGTTACATGAGGCAATAAATGAAATGCAATGGTTATTATTACAAATTGACTTTCTTGTGCAGCGTAGGATCTGGTGGGGGGGCTAGATGTGTATAAGAGACAGATTGTGTAAGGGTTCAATAGGCAAGGGATGGGATCGCCCCTTATGAAATTTAAAAAAAAAATATTTGTCCTGGCCAAGAAACAAAGGCATGTGAATCTATCTAGTCCTACAGTAGTTAGTAAATTGGACAGATAGGCAAGAAGGTTTAGCCTACAGTAATTAACTAAACCTTCAATAAAATCAAATTAAAAACACAATTTTTGATTTGATATTATATTTGCACGAAAGTGCATTCTGCAGATCTAGGTTATTCTCTTTATTATTATAAGCACAATTATTAATGAGGTTTGCATTTACAGTAATTTAAAGAGCGATGATAATTTTTACGAACAGTTGTTGTTATCTGAGTTACATTTTTTTTCGCAGAATATCAGAACATTTTCTATTGACACAGACACAGAGGGAGAAAAGGAATTAGAAGACATTAAACCAAGAGAATGGGTGAGATATAAAGTCTTAAATTACAATTACTGTAGTTTTCCTATTTTAAATTATCTTTCTAAAACTTTGGAAAACCATAGAATCAAATTGATGGAAAACATTGAGTAGCTTAAATATAAATATTAAAGTTATTAACCTCAAACAATAGACAGAATAATAATATGATTTCCAGGCAAAAGGTTGAGGCAAAGATTATTGGAACAGAATGTTCACTTTTGAAAATTTTCTCACTCAAATTTTCAATTGAAAATTTAATTTTCTTTAATTTTTCAGAAGCTATTGTAACTACTGTAATCCAAATAATTGCAAACCGTGGTAACTGGGTATTATTATTAAGCACGATCTACAAATTATCCCCAACGACAGAAACGGGTTTGGAAAAAGCGATCATCTAATTATTGTGCCTCATGAATATTAATAAGCTAAGCCAATATTTTGGAGACGCATCTGAACAGGGTTGTGCCGTTTAACATGTTTGCCATTGTTTCTATTGTATTTGATGACAAACGCATCTGTGTCTTTAGACCAGGTCCCGGTTGAACTAGTGTTTTTGTACGTACAATTTAAAATACTGAACAAGTTTTACTTCGAAATGAATCAAGTATACTGTACAAAGATTAAACACTGCATAGTCCTAGTGTTTGTAGGCCCTAAGTTAAGAGGTAAATGACGATGATAGCACATTATTGCCGTTTGGTCCGTCGGACAGACCTATCTTCATTAGCAGCCTGCCTGAGGAGCTGACGATGAATACAAAACTTATCTCTAAACTCATCAACTCCTTGCACATTATCTTTATTGGTAATAAATAGGTACTTGGCAACTGTTTTACGACGATTTTGAATACTGTACTTTCAATAAGATAATTGAGAAATAATTGAACGTCAAAATTTAAAAATGCTCAAAATCACTTTTTGACTAAATTAGAGCATGTTTTAGGTCATTTTGAGCATTTCGTAATTTTTCTTATTTTTCGTCCCGCGCGTCATCATATTGCCATCTGAATTCAACAAACTGAATATTATCGATGACGTCATTTAAAAAAAATGCGCATTTGAGCGTATCTTCCTTATCCGTGATCGATTTTCTCCAAACTTCGAGGAAGATTATAACTGAGACAATTCTCTTTCATAAATGTCACGACTTTTTACATTTTGATGACGTCATCATTTTGTACATAATGTTTTTATCTGACCATTCATCTTTCTTTCCTCAAATCATTGAAATCGCCTATATCATCATAAATAATTGAAATCTTATTCAATTGGCATAAAACTTCAAGTCAAGTATGAATGTAATGCGCGCAAATTTTTCGTGCGCGCATCATAAAATGCGCGTACGCGTGTATCGAAAATTTAAGTGCTCAAAATCATACATATTTTCAATCAGTTATAGCTCCTTAGAATGATCGGTAACACCCATTTTTTATTACATATTCTGAAAGCACATGAGTTTATAAGTTTATAAGTTCATGAGTTTATAGATATGATTTTATAGATCATAATGGCTGATCGGAAATTGTGACGTCGTCATTTTGCCATCTGAATTAAAAAAAACTTTCCTTTAATTTCCTCATTTATTAACATATTTATTTAAGCGTATCTTTCTTATTGTTATTCAATCGTTTCTCATCTTCCGAGTAAGTTATAGCTGAGACAATTCTCTTTCGGAATCATGTCCTTCATTTTCATTTTGATGACGTCATCATGGTCAAAATGAATGATTTTTGGACCTCTTCATCTTCAATTATTGAGAAATAATATATTGGACAGACCAACAGAGGGTGGCAGACTGTATTTCGACGCTATCAGACTGATTATATAGTTCATATGAAGGGAAAATTTGTATCGTTACGACGAACAAGTATCAAAAATACTATCATCAGTCCCAGCGTATCACCGAATTCGTCTATGACGGATTCCGAATCTAGTTATGATTATTATTATTATATTGTTATTGTTTGTTTTTTAGCTCAGTATCTATACCAGAAATATAAGTCTTTTCTGCTGGATTTAATTGTAAGTATGTCCAGTAGAAAAGATTGATTTAATTCCTTGTAATGATACTATACCTGGATGAATAACAATATCCACAAACGAATAATAATAATAATAATTTAATAATCGTGTATATTTGTATAGTGCCAGCTATCCATCAAACAAGATGTTCAGGGCACTTGAAATGTGGACTAGTAGCTTGACTCTCTTCGTCCCTAATGGTTTCTTCGTGTCTTTGCTACCTGGTAACCCGGTGCCAGCAACTCTTGTTGTCCACCACGGGAGTACACTGGAGTATCCCTCTACTAGTCTCGAATGATGTACTAGGTTCTCTATAGTGCACATTAGCCTACTGGCCTACGGTTTATAATCCTTTAATCCAAGAAGATCAGAGCCTGTTGAAACGTGCCTCATGGTATGTATAAATGAAAGAAATAGTCGGAGGCTTGGATGGAACAAAACGTCTTTAATTACGGAATCAAGCTTTCGAGCTTACGCTCTTCTTCAGGATCTGTACAAAAACATCCATAAAACAGTACTTAAAAAACTACTTATTAAAATATTTGCATTAAAATTACCTACGATTAAAAATTCATCAAAATTAATGTACTATACATAGTGCTTTCCGTTGTGCAGCGCACATGGTTTTGTCTCAGCAGGCCCAGACAACACCACAGCTCTGTTGTTTAAAATAGTCATGAAGGCGTATTCCCAAGATATACCTTTGTCTTATAGGTAATCTTACAATAAAAAGTTAAATAAAAAGATGTAAAGTGATGAATTAATACACTCTAGACACATGGTTTTATTTGAACACTTTATTATGACATGGCATGGGCACGGGCACACGTTGGTTTCATTAAGTGTCATTTGAGTTATTGCATGAATCAAATGAATGATTAAATATTCTTGTTTATTTGGAAAATCATTAGCAATAAGTATCACAGTGAGTACAGTGTGATTGAACATAAAACATAAATAAAAATAAATTATTTTTAACTCCGATGAGAAGCTTTAAGAGTACCCTGTATGCCATCAGCTGTAATCTGTATCGTTCATTTCTGTCCCAGCAACAGATGGACCAGCTGATTTTTGTGTAAATCGGTAGAGCATATATTAATTAAGGCTGAGGAAAAGTTTCTCAAACAGCTTCTAATCCAAACGTATTTTAATAATTTTTTTGTTAACGAACTATTTGGAATTTGTCGCGATGCGTGAATAGTCGCCATTGCAAAAATATCAATGCGAGGATTGATCATGTGACTTGATTTGACCAATCCCAAAACAAATTAAGCTACCATTGAGGGCGCATTATGACAACAACAAAGATGGCGACTCACAGGCAGCCGCACGATCCAGTGGTAAAAAATCTGTAAACGAAGGGGTAAATCAAAAGAATCTTCACTGCACAATGCATTTTGATGATGTTCTGTCAAGCGGGGTACAACCTTTTACAAAGACAAATGGAATACATTTAGAATGTGCGCAAAACAATGGAAAGATTTGAAAAGCCATGAATGTACTCTCTCTGGCCTAGTCGTCATTAGATTTGCTGGCGTGTGAATTTAGTATACAGTAGTAGCCTAGGCCTAGATGATGATACTAGCTTACAAATCGGATACCACCCTACGTGCTACAGGCGATTTATTTATTAATAAAAGAAAAATTGAATTTGCTAGCAAAAAATACAAAAAACGTGCACTAGCAGAATCTAAGACAGAATAATGATGATCTAAAAATTCGCCAAAGAAATCGAAACTGTAACTGAGGTCAGTATCGTCAATCGGGTTTACTAACGTAATCATCACACACCCGAGTATTTTCTAAAGTTTGCATAATACATAAGAAGTTAAAACGTTTGAATATGGTTCGTCGCAAAAGACAAACGGATCTCATGCCGAAACAAAAGCTGCAGGTAAATTTTATTAAGTAGAAATATATATATACACATAGGCCTAGAATAGCCTACATTTTTTTAAGCCTAGGCCTGGTTGGTATGACTATAATATAATTAATTCGACCATTACGAATTTCACCATGATTTCTGACCATGTAATGCATTCCTGCATAATTTTTTTTCTTAATTGGTTATCCTAGTTATAGCATGGTTACAGATGCCAATCAATAAAATGTAATACTATGTAGGGCTAGGCGACCATACAGTTTAATCATGATAAATTCCCTCCAAACGGTAGAGATGTTTCACCCCAAAAAAAAGTACATTATTTGACAAATAAATGTGACATGATGATATGAATGATTAGAAAGTGTAAACCTGAATATAATATCTATCATTAAAATGAATTTTATATTTTTACTTTTGTTTAGGTGTACTATTACAAGCAGCCAAGCTAAAAGCATATTCACGAAGTCCACTACAAGATTCAACTGTTGCAGTTCTATCTAGAAGGATTTGTTTGCCAACTATAAGGCGTTAAGGCATCTGATGTAAAATGTTGCCAGATACAAAGTTTTCTGTACCTCGTCGTCTTCAGAAAGATTTTGCATTTTTACAGCATTATAAGCGGTCTAATTACCAAGCTTCTATTCATCGCAAGCCATTAAGTGCAAAAATTATTCCACCATCCCCATATGGTCATGGGTGGCAAATTCAGGATGAAGAGCTTATCATCACTTGGTCAATAAAGGCTCCAAAACCAGAGATCTTATTGCAATCTGTACACTGGATGTAAGCAAGGCAAGTGTGAAACAGGAAGATGTTCCTGCCGTAAAGGCGATTTGCATTGTACTTATTTTAAGAAATTTCTTAACGCACGAGAACATAAGCCATTTTTTTAACCATCAGATGTAAAGCAAACTAAGACACAGGAGTACGAAAAGCATTATTTATGTAATTACTTGTTAGATTTATTTCTATAGTATTTATGAAGAAGTTGATGATGAGGATAATTTAATTAGAGTACCTTTATTAATATATAGAACATAAAGAACTTATGAAACGATAAGCAATTTTTAACCATGAGACCGTATGAGACGATAAGCAATTTTTAACCATGAGATGTAAGTCAAACTAAGACACAGGATACGGAAAACTTTATTTATGTAATTATTTGTTAGATTTATTTCTATTGTATTTATGGAATATTTTAGGCGTTGGTTGAATTGTAGAGAAAGACAAAGAAGGAAGATTAAAATTTATAAAATGTTTCAATAACGAAAGATAAAATTGAAAGATAAATTTAAGTAAGTTAAGTACTTTAAATACTAAATTTGACCATTATGTAATAAATGTTAATGAATCTTAAATGATACATTAAGTAACTACCTATATCATTGCTTTAATGTATGAATGATGGTATTTTGATGAAATAAAAGTGGAACGACCCCACAAAAGAGTAAAAAGAACCGTGTTTGCTGTAGGAATCTGAAAACTAATTATTGCAATATGATTTTAATATGACCGTACACCTCAGAACCGTATATACACGATTAAAACTAGAAATTGCAAGTGCTGCGAAGTACAACTGCATATAAATGTTCAAGTGAAAATAATAAATAATAAAAATATAACAAATAATATGAGACACGACCCATTGTCTATATTAGAACACTGACGAGCTGACGTAGAAACATAGTAAAAACGAGCGTTGGTACCGTGTACACCAGTCTACAACAAGTTCGCCTAAATGTAATAATTAGCACGCTGAAATAGGCTAGTAAATAAGTTTAACTGGGTTCGTAAATAATATTGACCTCAAAATATTGTGGCTGAGACATGGGCCGATTAAACGTAGAAATAGGAAACCTAGAATATAGTAAAAACGCTGAATAGTAATACTCGTGCGTCGCGACATGCGGACGTTGGTACGTGTAGGTTAGTCTACAAACGTCGCCTAAATTAATTGATTTTACCCGGCAGAACGAAAGAAGGAAACTCTGCTTTTGAGTTGTCTTAGGCCCTTGTTTTTGACAAACAATGACCTTTCAGAGGTCAAATTGCTGTCAAGAATATGAATTGGCTGCTTCGCAGCAAAAATAAATATGTTTTCTTCATTTTTTAAAGTTTTGAAGTTTATTTTTTTAAGTCTTAATAAATAAATAATGATACCACAATCTCTATATCTGTTAGGAACTGTCTTTGCTGTACGAATCTAAACACTCAATGGTTACAGTATATTTGGCACGATTTTATTGACCTCAGAACTTTGTACGAGATTTAAAAAAAAAGACATTTTCTTTATTTTTTTAGGTTTTAATTTTAATTTTGACGCTCTTAATAATTAAATAACGATATGATAATCTGTATATCTGTTGGGAACTGTCTTTACTGTTGAAATCCAAACACTCAATGATTACAGTACGATTAGCCTGATCTTATTGACCTCGGAACTTTGTATGATACTGAAGAAAAGACAAATTTACTTCATTTTTTTCAGTTTTCAGTTGATTTTTTAAAGTCTTAAGAAATTAATAATGAAACTAAAATCTCTCTATCTGTTGTGAACTGTCTTTGCTGCTGGATTCTGAACACTCAATTATTACAGAGATTTAGCCATGATTTGAATGACCTCTAAACATGGGGCCAGACGCAAAAAGTGTGCATTTTTAGCATAATGGGGTATATTAAAATGCACCGATGACAGGTTTTGGATGAGAGTTCGTTTGAGAACTTTTTACACATGCCTCCTGATGTGTTAGAGAGTGTATACTGCAAAAATCAGCTGGTCCATATTTTTCCGGGACACATGTCACTTTCCAGGCACTTTTAGCTGTACAGGTCATTGATTAATTATTATATCTTTTTTGTATGGGCGGCTGTTAAGGCCACTAGAATCACTCGGCTGATTGATTATTAGATCTTTTTTTTGTATTGGCGGCCGTTAGCGGCAATATACTCTACTGTCTATATTATACTGCCCTCATCGGAGCTTTCAAGAACTTGTATTTTGCTTTGCTTGGTAATTTTACCTGATTTTAATGCAACACTGATACATTTTCGAGACTGCTGTAATATTGTACAGATTATAATAACTTAAGTGTCACCTCTGTAATTTATTGTTATCATTTTCAAAATACCTTGAGAAAAAACATACCCTAATGAAAAAATCCAACTGTGTATATCACTTGACTTTGTAGCATTAAAGTGTCTGAATGGTAATCGAACATTCTGGATTTAAATCTCAAATGTGAGGTATACAATTTTCTCAGATGTATTTTTGTTGTTTGCCTTTTCAGATAAATGGAGACATTCCACCACGAGTAAGGAAAGAAGCACATGATGTTATTTTGGACTTTATTCGCTCTAGACCGCCACTTAGACCGGTAAGGCCATATTGCACTTTGGAAACCATTATCCAGATGATAATGTAACCACTTGAAATGGAAAGGATATCTTGCACTGGGGAACCATCTATCAGATTATGATGCTATTTCTATTTTTCTGGGTTGTCCCTTAGTCTTTGAAAGACATGTGGCACTATGGGCACTGAACACTGTGATGATCAACATAAAACAAATCAGCAACATTTAAACAAAACATGTCGCGCATGGGAATATAAATGTAATGTTCTTTGATATAAATATAATAATATGATTTCTTATTAAATCCAAATAGGCGAAGGATCGGGTATTAAATTCTACACCACCAAAGATGCGAAGCTTACACGATCAGCTCCTTACAGGCATCAGGTCTAAACCCCAGCTTACACCAGTCTCCGAGAGAGTATTAGGTAACTTCATGTAATGAGATTTAGTTTATGTAAGCAGTTGCCTATGTTATAATATAATAAATAATTGTTTTTCTTTAAATAGATAATGTTGTACTACCAATGAATTTGTAAATATAAAGCAAATTCATAGTAGTTTGATCATGCCATCCCTCTTTAAATGCTTATTGTCACTCAGGACCGAAGATAAAAGTGCCAGGTACTAAGATCTCAGTAATTTCAGAAAAGTCGGACAGCGAGTTCAAGGTTAAACCAATTAAGAAGGAAAATTCTCTGATTTCAACTCCGTCAGAAATGAAGAAAATCTTAGCAGCAGACTTTGATTTGAATTGGTCAGACGAGGTTCGTACCAAATTCTTTAATTATTAGAAAAGCTTATAAGGCATGCCTGTTTTATTCTATGCAAATTCACCACTTATCTTGCCATTCCATGTGGCAGCCAATGTAGTAACCTCATGCAAACTCACAGCATATTTTTCAACAATATTTTTATTCCTGTAGGACACAGAAGTTGAGATGACAGATAATGAATTCAAATCGAGCGTGATTTCAAATGGAATCGCAAAGACTAAGCAGCTACCAACTCCACCAACACCTGAACCAGAGAAAGGATTCTTTCAGAGAACAGAAGAACGATTTTCTCTCAAACTGCCAAAGAAGCTTGGATTCATTGATTTATCATGTAAGGAAAAATTAAACAAGTAGACTTCGTAAAACAGAACATAGGGCTTTTCCTCTTTGCCACATTGAGGTGATGCTGAAATTACAAATTAGAAAAAAAAATCTCATTAAAAAAGTATAAAGTAACAAAAATACATGAAAAACAAAAATAAAATCATACTAAAGAAGATTGTAACGTAGAACAATTATAAACATCAACATCAACATCAGTGAGACTCAAACTTTGGCTACAGTGGAAGTAGCAAAGGTGATTTTTAGAGTTCTTACCATTATGCTAAAGCACCTGACCTGAGAAAGTCAGTGAATCTTTATTTTGTCTACCTGTCATAATGTTGTAAGTCGAGGGAAAAAATTGTTCACCATGGATTTCACAGTAATTTTGTGTTTAACATAGCTGTAGCTAGTTTGAAATGATTTAGAAAATGTAAATTGTGTAAAAATAAAAGTTTAATTACTCATTTTATGTAGAATAACATCATAATTTAATATGCACATATCCGATATATGGTCTTTGCTTGGACAAAGTTCGAAGAAGATCCAAGATGAAAAGTGACTAAAGAGACGGACAGAAAAGTCGAGTGCAAAAACAAAAGAGATGCTTCTTTAGATGGCTCTTGAATGATGTCACAAATACCATCTCTTTCACAGACAAAGGAAGATTGGTTCATAAAAGTGGTGCCAGTAGAAAAGAACTGGCTGCCATTTGGTCTTCAAAGATTGATGATTTTGAACTGTATCCTATTTTAACCACTGAGTATGGGAGCTTAGTGTTTTAAAGCTAGGCTCCAGAGAAAGTGAAAAAAAATTGTGTAAATTCCTGGATTCCTATTTACCTGCATAACATATTACAAGGTTTGATTTTTCCTCATAAATGACAAGTTAATTGTTGAATGTAAATGTAAGGCTAATATCATTAAATACACCTAGGTATTTAAAATTGTAAAAATAGTTATGGTTATTTTCTATTTGCTGCAGTTCTTACTGGGGAAAAGGAAGATAAATCACCTGTTGAAACAACACACAAGAGCAAATCAGAAGCCACCGAAGAGTTCAGCGATTACGACTCGGACCGAGAGGAACGTCTACAGCGGAGGCACAGCATATCACTGTGCCAATCATCACGGTTATCAAGCTCACTGGTTCCATCAATGGTAAATACAAGTCCAAATAGCGAGTGGGTACTGGTAAGCAAGATGAAAACCCCCTCTAAAAGAGTACGCAAAAAGCGACGTTCCCATGTAAAATTTGATGACAATTCTGACTCGTTGAAAGTAAGTAAAACAGTGCATTTTGAAGTGTCGCAAGCATGTAACTAACCTACTGGCACTAAACTACTACGCACCTGATTGCTTGCCGAAAGTAGCACGCTCAATTCTCATTCATCTTCTAATACTTAGGAAAACTATTCAATTGGGACCCATAATAAAATCATGATAGTAATACTGTTAATATTATAAATATTCAAGAACATTTATTTTCAACAATTTTTAAGGAGATTTTACTTAATATATGGCCAACAAAATTTATAGAGTCTGTTGGTCAGATATTTTTACTACTACTGTAAATCCAGGTCTATAAGCCGCAAAGTGATTACTGATTTTTCATCACTACTTTTGGGATGTGTTTTATACGCGAGTAAATCAAACGGTGATGAAAAATGTAGATTGCCAGTCAGGGTTGAAATATGATAGCAAGTACCTACCTTTCTAGGCACAGCTTTTTGGAAAGACACATACTTTCACATTTCAATCCAGTAATTATTACCAAAAATTATAATAATAATAATAATAATAATAATAAAATAAAATTATATCTTCATGAAGTATACATAAAATCTCAACTTAAATATAATAGATTAAAAGAGTTAAAATAATTTGTTGCTTTGGGAAATTGATTCCAAAAGTCATTCTGTTTTATATTTCATCTTTTTTCTTCATCATTTTTTGACATTCTAAACTGACTAAAAATTTGTTTTTATATTAATAGACTTCTTTAATGTTTTGATTACACAGTAGTCAAGTCTGAGAGTACACTCCAATAGTAAGCAAAATATTAGCAATATATAGGTCAAGTACACAGGGACTAATTTAAAAATATTAGCAATATATAGGTCAAGTACAGAGGAACTAATTTTTTACTGGTTACCTTTTTTTATGAAAGCTACATGTAAGAAATTCCGATATAATCGTATATCAGTATATACAGTATATACTGTATGTTATTTCTCAGGGCAGCTTAAAAATATTGATTGGTATTAAACCTCTCCTTCAACAATGAAATTTACTGAAGCTCTTTGAATTTTGGGACCTCACCAGAAAATTAAGTATCTTTATTTTATCCAGGGGTCCTGCCATTTGCTACTTGGGTCTTAATAGATTTTCTTCCATCCCTAAATATTTTTAAAAACTTTGGCAAATGTTCAAATGAACTAGGGAGAAGATGCCAAAGTATGGAAACTCTTTCAAGTTCTGAATTCATGTTCTAGCTCTCCATAGAAAATGGAAAAAATGTCCTTGATAATAAATGTTTTACAGATTTCGAAAAGAGGGGTAAATTATATGCAGATTGTCCATAGCTGCTGGGTGTATTCCACTTAATGTACTTGTCACACTTTTAAACCTGACATTGATTTTGTTGGAGATAACAAGGTTGTTCAGCTGGTTGAATTTACTGTTCCATTTGAAATGATACATACATACATAAATTGTAGATGGTAAAGAAAAGGAATCTGCAAGTGTGAAAAAAATTACTAGTATTTGATGCATGCACTTGAAATATTTTGATACAATTGACAATTTAAAAAGAAATCTAGACTAATCTGACCACAACATGAATAACATGGTAGAAATTTACAATTTAGTTATCAATTTATTTGGAAATGTTTTAATTTTATTTACATTATATTCAGATGTTAGTATCAATCATGTTCAAATTTATCCTAAGTTCATGTGAACACAATGAAAGGAGAACTTTAATAATAGTAATAATTTTAATAACAATAATAATAATAATAATTATTATTGTTATTGTTATTGTTATTATTTATCATTTAGTTCATGTGAACACAATGAAAGGAGAGCTTCATCGTAAGTTCATGTTCATCCCAAAAGTATATTTTGAATTTGAATGTGAACACAATAAAAGTAGAGCTTATCGAGGAAATCATTGATTCTAACATTAAATCCTTCAAAGTTGTTCAACTCTTTTTATATATTTAACACTTAATTCCATATTTATACTTTCACATATATCTTTCTTTGGCCTTCTTGACTTAATCTTATCATTTCAGTAAGTCTTTTAGCAATTCCTGAGCTCTATTCTATATGGATATGATCAGTGTTCTCACAAAGCAGGATTTGCCGGCATTATTTGCTGGACTAAAATACAACCAACCAATAGTTAAAAAATGAAAATCTGATTCCCCTTCAGATAAGAATATTGCCAGAGGTTATCATTTGAAGCCTCCTCCCCTTTTCTCCACTTCTTACCCACTCGATTGATGCTATGCATCCAACAGATTTACTGAATAAATCTTATTGAGAGAACACTGCATGGTATGTGTCATCTATTCAATCATTTACAAATTATTCAAATAAGTATTCATAATTATTCAAATAAGCATTCATAATTATTCATGTAGAAACCACTACTCTCCCTTATTTTCATATTCATTTTAAAGGATCTTGCGAATTAACAAAAACTATTAGTATTTAAATATCTGAATTTAATATTAATATCAGAAAACTTGAGTATGTATCATAGAAGGAGCTAATATCTTTCTTAATACTAATTCCATAACAATTGCTTTGCATTAATTTTGCTTTCTGTGTGCAAAGCTTGCATGTGTCTTGTGACATTAACAGATATAGGGGAATTTTTATTTCAAATTATCTTGTGTCAAAATATTATTTACATTCCTTGAAATTAGAAACATCTTAAAAAAAGATGCACCAACTTGAAGTATATAATTACTCTATATTATTATTATTGTTATTATTATTATTATTATTATTATTATTATTATTATTATTATTATTATTGTTATTATTATTACTATTTTTATTATTGTGTATTATTATTATCATCATCATCATTATTTTGTTTTATTATTATTATTATTTTGTTTTATTATTATAGTTATTATTATTAATATTATTAATAATACAAATTTGTAATGTGCCAATTGCAATAAAATGATCAAAGGCGCAGTGTATGTTACGGCATGGTGTTAAGAGATGTGTTTACAGATTTAATGTAGTAGTAGATGAGATCACAATGGAAAAAGCAGGTCATTTCAAAAATAAGAGTTAGCAGATGAAATGTTCTTTGGCCATGTTTTAGTGTAAAATTTTGGAATGGTTTTAAGTTGACAAGTGGGCACATGGTGAGAAAGAAAATCAATAAGATATGGAGGTAGCCTCAACATTAGCAGAAATAAAAAATAATGATTTTTTTATAGGTAGCTAATAAAGATTATGAAGTACAGGAGTAATATTTAGGAGTTAATCTGAATCAATTGAAGGCTTTCGATGGAAGTAGCAGAAAGACTGATCAAAAGAGAATTCCAATGATGCCACTTCGAGCAAATGCCAGTTCGAGCGGAATTTATTATAGCGGATGCTAGTTCGAGCGGAGAAAAAAATCACTTGTGCGAACAACAGCCTGTGTGATTTATGTACGAATTACTTTAAAACTTCCTATTTTGAGCTAAAAATTTGCATTCGGCTGGGGCTCAGGCTTTGCTTGGGAGCCAGGCACTGGTGTATCTAGGGGTGCATGGGGTGGGGGAGGGCCCCTTCAAACAATTACTCGCCCCCCCCCCCCAAAAAATATCAATTGCAAGTAGTTAAAAATCACCTAAAATCACCTTATTTTGCGAGTTTAGCATCCATCTCAATTGATCATCGAGCCCCTGTACTTCACCTTCACGTTCCCAATCAGCACCCCCATTTCAAGACTTCTAGATATGCCACTGGAGCCTGGGGAAAATCCCCGGTGGGGTCCGGGGGAGAAGCCTATAGCCTTATGTATAAAAAAAGTTGTATTTAATTGATTTACAGTATAAGGTTAACAATTTACAATTAAACATACTTACGTTCATAAAAATAATGTTAAGTCATTGTTATTCTTTCCACATGCTAAGTTAAAAAAAAAAAAAGGGTTTTGAACTATATAGAAGAATGGTTGAATAGTGGTAAAATTGGTATGATCTATTACTGTGCTGTTGATAGTCTTGTCACAGGGGCTGAAGGATCCAGAATTTTCCAAACGGCGGGGTGGGGGCACAACAGTTTTAGAATAGATAAGTGAGTAGCACATAACATTAATATGCATTGACATTTAAAAAATTTAGTGGCAAGACGAGGGGGGCACGTGCCTCCCCGTGTCCCCTACACTGGATCCGCTCCTGTGTCACACTACTACACCAATGATTTGTGCACCTTCTGATACCATATACGTAAAAATAATTTAAATTTGGTGAATAAAATTACAATTACAGTTATTCCCATTTACAAATATAGGCCTAAATCGTAAATCTACAAATACTGTTACAACACTATATAATTCAACTAACTGGAGACAAAAACCGTGAATTCTATGTGCGAAATTCTATAGTTTTAAAATATAGGGCCTAAGTGCTTTCTAGCGGCCATCTTTTAGTCGGATTTGCCAAAACTAATTCAAACATGGAATAATTATCAAAAAGTACCAAAAACATTTTAGAACTTTAGTGCACAGAGCATTTTTTGCATTTAAAACAAACAAATACAAAAAAAGGGCGACGATAAATTTGCCCTTGTTGTAGTTCGCACTAAATGCATCCGCTCGAAACTGACATCCGCTCGAATTGACTGGCATCTGATTTCAAATAGTTCGTGCATTTTAAGTATAGTAGTAAGTACCATTTTTTAAAAGAAGGAAAATCGATATTAGGCACAAGAAACTTGGTTACTTATAAAGTGTAGTTTGAATGTTTGCATGGCGAAGTAATAATATATACTAATGCTTGCGGTACACCACGTAGATAGGTCTGAAAATAGCTGTTGTTGGTTGAGAAACTATGTGTTTGCATATAAAAATGAACAGAGAAATATCTCCTGGATTGAAATCCATTTTTTACCTTTAAATATAGCCCCATCATGGCCGGCGGAATCAGGGAGTGGGGGGGTGCGCTAGGGGGGCCCGGGCCCCCCTCCCCCACTTTTTGGCAAAAAATATATAATGTCTGGAGATTTTTGTATGATCGGAAAGAAATGCAAGAAAATAAAGACGGAAGGAGGAGGAGAAGGATGGGAAAGAGAATGTTTATCCAGTCCCTGACCGAGTTACATTTTTTCGCAATTCACATTGGCAGATCTGGGAGAGGGGGGCCATGGGTTCTGACCCCTCCCTTAGTCAACAAAAAAAATCCCTTAGGCAACAAAAAAAAAAAAGTAAAAGAAAAAAGAAATCAATTCTAGACCTACTTTTTCAGGACCCCATTAAAACTGATTGTTTTTTTTTTTTTTACAATAAGAAAATTAGAATTTAAAAAAAGTCATTAAAACACACTTCAAATGTCGGGAAAGCTCATTTCCCGCCATCTAGGAATCAAAATTTTCCTGGGGGAGAACCCCTAGACCACCCTTTCTTTTTGGGATTTATCGATTCATGGAAAAAAGAATACGCATACAACTACTCATCTGTTTATGTATGTATACACACATAAAATAAAAACTGTGAAAAATTTACCTGACCGTTTTCAAGAGGGGAAAACCTTGAATTTTGAAGAACTTAAAAAGTTATTTAAAAGGCATTTTAGAAGTCAGAAAAGCTCATTTCCCGCCATCTAGAAATTGAAATTTTCCCGGGGAACCCGGGCCCCCTTTTTCTTTGGGGTTCATTGATTATTGAATTACTTTCAAGAGGGTGAAAGCCTTGAATTTTGAAGAAAAAAAAATTTTCCCGGGGAAGAACCACAGGACCCCCTTTCTTTTCATCGATTCATGTCATATGCTATTACTCAATTTTTTATGTATGTATACGCACATAAGGCATATTTTCTGTAATACAAATGAGAAAAATTTACCTGACCGTTTTCAAGAGCAGAAACCTTGAATATTGAGAACTTAAAAAGTCATTAAAAGGCACTTCAGAAGTAAGAATTTTCTCATTTCCCGCCATTTCCAGATCTGCATGATTCATATTCCCATTCATCTTTAAGTGGGGCCCCCCACTTTGAAAAGTTCCGCCGGCCCTGTCCATTTCCTGTTTAGTTCATAAATGCAAAAACTGGGCCCTGCTGAAAAATATTACCTTGATTCTGCCTTGAACCTGTTGGCATAAATGAATAAACGCAATTTGCTACTTATGTTATTTCCATTGTTTAATCCACTGCATGAGATATTAGATATAACTTCCTAATATAAATTAGATAACTTACTTTATGAGTACTTTATTGGAGTATTGGAGAAAATTGTTCAAATATAACAAAATAATCTTAACTATTATACCAATGGTTATGTGCAAGAATTCTATACATGAGACTATCAAATCAATAGTTACCCTGTATGAGCAAAAGGAGTGAATGTAATAGTCTCATATCATGTGAAATTAATTGCCAGATCTTGTACATCATATGAGAACATAATAAAATGTATAGCCATCGTCTGCAGTAAGACAAACACTGCTCACTTAATTACTTCAAGTATTTTTTTTTTATCATACTTTCTAGTGATATTTTTAATACCACAAACACAGGTGTTATACAGTATAGTCTATTGTTAGAAAATGTGTCTACATAGTTTGAAATTTCTGTTCTTTTTCATCCTTTTTTTTATTTAGTTTCTCAGAATGTTGTTAACAGTAAGTAAATGCTAAGATTATTTTTAAATAACTTGGTGGTTTGTGTTGGTATTGGTTATTTAGGTGATTAGGTTGATTTTATTTTTACATTTACTTTAGGAAGAGTTAAAGTTGGGTTCTCATTTTGTTGTTATAATATTTAGATAGATGCTTATTTTCTGTAATTCAGATATGAACAA